TTCGGTTATATTAAAGACTTATCTATTGATATATAATACTTAGAATTTTTTGTTCTATTCTACCTCGTTATATAACTTACCATTTACCAATCGAAGATACATTTTATTTTATTTTATTTACGTTAGCTTTTACAAAGATGGATTTTTGAAGTCTCTAGATGTTTGTAAGTTGATGATGTCGGCTGAAGAAAATATTCGGAATTTTCTCGTCGATAAACATTATATAGAATTTCAGATACAGTATTATTTCGTATATACTGCTGTAGCACTCATAGATTGTTTTTTCTTTTCATAATGCTGCAGTTTATATTATAATGCCTCTCTTAGTTATCGATGAAACTATAATATGAAATTTTATTCCTGGAAACGAATCTTATAAGTAATTTCGAATTTTTCTAATTGGAGCTATTAAAAAACATCGGAAGAAATCTTCACCAAATTTCCGATTGCCATTTCTCTCTTTTACTTCTCTCTTCTTTTTTAAATGCTAGAAATAACCAGCCAAAAAGCAAAGGGCAAAGTTCATCCTAGTGTCCTTCTAGTGCAGGGATCTCTCTTCCCATCGGATGAAGATTGTGGATCTCTTTTCGGAATAATGTTTTTAAATTCATAAAATAAAATTACGGAAGAAACCAGTCATTAAAATAATATAGTAATATATGCGCTTCTTTCTGAACAATTTCGCGTAATAACAAAAAATTAAGAAAATAATTCTATTTCGAGCCTATGGATCTGTGGTTAAGAACCATTGTTCTATGCAGATAACCATTGCTTCTACGCTGCATTCGGAAAGTTTTAAGCAGTTTAAATGAAGATGTCGTCTCTTATTGGCTCTTCTCGTTAATCCGTTGGTTTGACGGGGCACAACGCGACACGAAGGCAATTTGTCGAGGGAAGGAATTTCTATCGGAAACTGGCACATATTTGGATGTTAGACGGGCGAAGAAAATTCGGAAAAACATAAACGACTAACCCGTTGGTGAGGAACGAACTTACCGGTGTCGCGCGATTTTATTAATTTAGTTGATGATGTCGCTTCGTGTCGAGAACCAGATAGGAGAACGTTGATGCCAGTCAAATAATAATATTTATTATAGATACAGCGGAAACTCGATTATCCGAAACTCTCCGCGTATTATCCAGACACCGAACTCCGTATAACAGGAAATCACTACAATCATCCGTCGATTGTAGCGCCACGAAACTAGGTCACATACGTAGCATTACGTCAGATTTTGAGTAAATTAACTAATCTACAAAAACAATAATCGCATCGCAGTATTTATTGCCCACGAAACTTTAAACGCGCGGTATTATAGCTAAAACATCCGGAGCACAAAAAACACGTGTTTCTGGATTATCCGAAAGCCGTTTGGTCCCATCGAGTTCGGAAAATCGAATTTCTACCGTAATTGTATTACGCAGTAGATCTATCTCGTATAAATAATTTTCAATGCAATTTTATTACAATTTGGTTTCGGATTATTCGGTTACGGTACCACGACACTCGAGCCGCGGGGGATGCCTGCAGGAGGACCTTTAAAAGAAACCGTCCCCTATTTAAGCGTTACTAACGCGAAGAAAACCCGGAAAACTCGGCCAGCCCGTTGGCCAGATGCGAACCCGCGATCATCTTTCGGCGATTTTATCGGCAACTGGGGTGCTTATTCCAGTTTAATTAAATACGGCGCGCATCTTTGATTGATCCGAAAAGGTTGGCCAAAACTGGATTTTCAAAGTCAACGCGCAATATTTTTTGTGCAATGGACTATTTTCTTTTTAATATATTTAATGACTCGTCTCTTCGACTAATATGTTTTAAATAAACAAATGTTTTTCTCTGGCGAGTATTCTTAATCCAATCCAAAATAGAACCGAATGGGTTTTTGGTAAAAAAGAAAGAAATTTAATCAAAGTGACGCTTTAGAAATTTTTATTCCCTCCGAGGAAATGCAATATTTGGATTAAAGAAGATCTGCTGAATATTTACGCATCAAATTTAAGTACAGTATTTCGCGCGTGCCTCACCAAAGTAAAACTGCAACGAAAAAATAAATAAACAAATAAGAAAACTGATCAATCGGGAGGTTTCTCGTCTTGTTACTACGTCAAAGTTAGATGAGAGATGATTACCAGAGGGAAACGGAATAGTTTAGGGGGAAAATTAAATTGTTTAATGTTCGATCATCTCTAGAAAAAAGTTTTGGCTTTGATGTTTCTTTATAACACGGCTTCCCAATGGAATCGGGGGGATAAATGAGTAAATTAGGTACAGTATTTATTGTACAGTACACGTATATAATTTAATATTGTTTAACGTTGTACCGCTTAAATATAATTTATACCACCGTAAGTACGATATATATCCCTTAAAATTTCTTAGAAAGGGGATCTATACACGAAAAAGGTTGGGAACTCCCGCATTATATCCACGTTTACTCAACTGAGAATTTTTAAAAGTTACTAGTAAAATTTTACAGCGACTCATTTTGTATAGGATAGTTAAAAGTGGTTGTAAATTAAAGTCTGAATAATTTTAAATTATTTTTACTTTTAATGAGATTTTTTATCTTCAGACAATTTTCAGAAAAAGCAATAAATCTTTAAGCTGGTTTTTTCTTAATTTCAAATATTTAGGTTGAATATTTTTATTAGATTTATTACGATTTATAAGACGTACGATCAACTTTTATGTGTCTTTCAACGTTAAGTTATCTGCGAGTTCTCGAAATGTGGTCCAGAAACCACACGTGGCCCTTTATAGGCTGCTTTATGATGTGAAAACAGATGAAAGAATCGTATTCGTAGAAAATAATAGCTATTTGACCTTCAAAATATCACTTTCGATATCATATATTTTATTATTTATTTAAAGAATTTACTTTTTGCTATTATAGAACCACGTTGCACTTATCCCAACTATTTGGCCGACGGCCGGATGTCCGAGTGGTTAAAGTGGCAGCCCACCGCTCTGGGGAGTCCGGGATCGTATCCGGACGAGTAGAAAATGCCAGAAATGTTTCGGAGGGTGGTTTCTCCGGATATATTCCCTCCACCACCCGGCCTACCCATTGTAGCCTATCGAATCCACAATGGTCTTAGTACCGCAGAGAAACGAGTTATAAACAAGTAAAACGGTAAGGCCGTATTTGGGACAAGACTATGTCTTGATCAGTACACAAACTTAGGTTATCCATTTACATACACGTAAGACCTAGGTTTGTGTACTGCTGAATAAAAGAGGATTTTCAAAGAAAGCCCTGCGCTGTTTAATCTTCAATTTGAAGACAATATAACCTAACAAAGAAACTGAGACTTATCAACAACTATAAATTCTGTGCCTTATTAAAATTTAAAAGCAATATTTTTATTGTATTTTAATTCAATTAAAAACTCAAAATCATGAAAAATTTATTAGAAATATGTTGAACACAATAGATTATTTGTTTCTATTGCATAAAATATAGAAAATAAAATGTTACTCGTTAATTTAACATAGAAATTATATGAATTATTGACACGTTATACAGGTTGTTTGTTATACTAATATATGCATTTTTAAGTTGTAATATAAGTTATTTTAATATATTATATTGTACTCGATATAAAAGTGGAAAATAAGAATATTGCGGATCTAGGATGCTTGTAGCGAACTGTACAGTGCCGTAAACATGGGTGAGATAAGTGAGATACTGCAATATTAAGAACATAGAACGTAATATTTTCAATAATAAAATTGAATTTGTATTCTGAAATTTATAAATTCAGAACACGAAATCCATTATTTATAAATGAAATATTTCGATAAATATTTTACGAAATAAATAAAAAATAAGCATCATTGTTCTTTTTAGGCACGTATTGCGATGCTTGTTCTTCGGTACATAGAATTCGAATTAAGAAGCTGTCAGTGTATTTTAATTAGAAGATAAATTGTATATTCATAGAAACCGTATAGGGTATCCACTTAATCATCTATCCAGGGGTAAATGCCTGTCTTCAGTTCGCCCTGACGCTCGTCTGTCCGGGAATGACGTAGCGTGACATCTCGCTGGTACCAAACCTACTGTAGTTGCTCCAACGGCGAGTCATAGAGCCACTCGTCCACGGTCGTGTTTAGAATGTTCAGATATTGGAATGCCATAAATGAATACGGGACCAAGAAGCTGCTCACCCCTAACTCCACACCATACGTTTAGGGTAAAACTCAAGTGGATAGTAGAGCACGCTGTATCCAATAGTGAACATTATGGCGTTTATGCACTCCATTCCGGGAAAATAGAATGTTACACCACTCAAATTATTGTATGGCATCTTTTGCATGTAGTGATGGTGGCGGATAGCAGCGGTTGTGGGCATGTCGGGTATAATATCTGGTGTATTTGTGTCCTCTGCCGTCTACACCTAATTTAATGTAACCTTTCGAGGCTGGAAAGATCTCTTTTGCCCATGGATAGATGTTTAAGTGGCAACATTGTACGTGATTTCAAAGAATCCCATGCTCGGTATTGTTAACAATTATAAAAAATGGTTTGGAAATATAAACCTACAAACTTACCTAAAAACTTAGTCCAAACTTTTCATTTTCAGTCAATTTTATTCAATTGAAATAACTTTTTCAAATCAAATAAAATACTTAATCAATTTTTTTTTTATTTAAAATTTCTCTTCAAACTCGTTTTATAAATCCCACTTTTCTAGCAATTTCAGCACTTTCTTCGAAACCAAATCAATGAATATAATATTCTGAAGTATCGAGACAAATATAATTTACGTGATATAAGACGTCGATTTTTCGGGCCTCGGACCGAGGCCCCGCGCTCAAAGGAGCCCTACACTTTCAAATTTCCAAGAAAATTTCATAAAAAATTTTTGTTTTGTAAATATTTTGGGCCGTCGCCAATAACGTTCTCAGGAGGACCCGCAACCTCCATCCGGCTGTAGATATAAGAGAATAGAGTTCTTTATGTTAACTAAGGCATTCGTATTCTTCTTTACAGAGCTCCAGCAACGTGCGGACTAGTTTCTCACCATCACAGAATCATTATTATGTACTCGTTATATATGATTTTTGGATTGTATGAAACAATACAGTGCCATGTGGAATAAGTGACTCGCAGCACTCGATTATTTAGGAAAAAAGGATTAATTGCAAAATTTCGTGTCGAAGAGAAGCTGATCTCATTAACTTCATCGTCTTCTAAACTTTACGTTTTAGCAATGTGATCTCATCAATCTTTTACATTTGTCATGCGATTATGTGGGCAGAGCATACAATGACACCATTGACTTCGACTAATGAAACTGCGAGTAGTATTTCACCCTTTTCTGATGTCATCACCTACGTCACGTCGGTAACAAAACCAAATTTACCAAATCCTAAACCAACAGGTAATCAGTTTAATTTTAATAATTTAATTAATTAAAATTAAAACGTTAGATACTAAATTAATGAAGCAAAAATTGATTAAATATTTCAACAGTTTGCGAGTCTCCATCAAATCACGTTTCGTCTAAAAATAATTCCAAAAATTCCGTATAAAAGTAAATATAATTTCCAAATATATTATATTAATATAAATATTTAACTCTGGGCTTAAAAATTATACATTTATTTATAAGATTATCGCATTAAATAAATTATTAATAAGGTTTCTGCTTATGGAAGACGATGCTCGATGCAAAATTAAATTATAAATAATGGTGATTCGTGAAATTCACCAGAAATTCTCAAGATTATCGTTGATCAATAACCAATTTAATTTTTTTCCTATAATAATTTTCATAATAAGCGTTAGAAAATTAATTTAAGGCGTAGATAATTATAGTTTTTAATTAAGTAATTTAAATAAATATTTCTTTAATTAGAATTTTGCTTTGGAATAAAAAGACTTTTAATTAGAGAAATATTATTTAAAAAGTAAGTTTTTTCCCTTAAATAAATTAATCAACAAATTTAGTTATTTGACAGGAATTTTAATTAAAGAGAGCGCGTGAGAAAATAAATTGATACCAATAACAAATGGCACGAATCTCGATTTTTATTTTCTTTAAAAATCGTATTAAATAAATGCCATGTTTATTAATATTTTTAAATAATTTGATCATTAATCTAAAGAAATGTGCTAATAAATGTTTAATTTAAAATTGCGTAACTCGAGAGAGTCTAAAGTTTTTCTATGGGCTGGAGTAATGAATGAAGGCCATGCAAAACGTGCCCAGCGACTGCCTCCCCAGAGGACTTTCTATGGAAGATTTGTCCGTTTAGTCGTTAGACGCGTGAAGAAAATCCAAAAAATTTCACGAGACCAGGCCCAACTGTTTCACTGTTCCGCGAGGACAAAACCACTGGATATTGATCGAGTGGTTTTATCCACTCGGCCATTGGCGAGTTAATTTTTAAAATCTAAGAAAACTTTAAAATTCTGAAAAATCTTTAATTGAACTTTTGTGAAAATTGACAATGTTAAAATAGTAGAGGCCTGTATTTCAGTAAGTATCAAACGCCTTCTTGTACTGTTGCCAAATCTAATACTAATTTTAACAAAGAAGACAATCGTCAGAATTTTTAATACCAAATTCGTAGAGAAAAACGATTAATTTTATTTTACTTATCGCTATTAGAAGAAAAGTATAATTGATCCGATGCCCGTCAACGTATTAATAATACACGCTTGCCCGGGTTTGCATTTATTATTGATTGTTTCATAAAGTATGTCGGGATATGCGAAGTCTTGGTTCGAAGAACCCCATTGCGAGCATCGCGTGTACGAGGGGCCGAACCTATAGTAGATACGATTACAAAGGTCCCCTCGGTGCCTACAGGAGAAAAAAGAGTTTAAAAAATAAATAAATTCCAGGCTTAATATAGTTAAATTTACTTTTTGTTCCGGAAAGCTTTCGGAGATTCAGATATTTTTTTTAATCCCTGGAAGAATCTGCCTGGAGAAAGGCAGATTCTTCACTAATCCTGATATAAATCCATTAGATAATTTAAAAATGACGGAAAAGAATTAAAATTAAAAATAAATCGAAGCAATTGTAAAAGATATTGCATCGCCCTCGGTAACTCAGCGAGTAATTTTAAAATAGCGTAAACCGAAGACAATTACCTATTTTATTTTATTAAATGTAGACTGTCCATTACTCGAATTAAAGTATTATTTGTTCTGTCCTGTGTCAACACCGCGATTAGTCTAGTTGGATCTTATTTTATTGAAATTAAACAACACGGCACTGTTCGACGTAACGCGAGAACCCCCCTCGAGATAGAAGAAAAAATGAACAAAAACTGAAATGAAAAAAGAAATATTTAATCTCTTTATCGAAAAATATTTAATTAGAATGTTGATTTTAATTTAAAATATTTCAATTTTTGCTTATTTATTTATTTATTTCAGTATTCGAATTAAGTCCGTATTAATTCAATTAGTGAAGCTAATTGACAGTTTTCAAAATTTTGCAAGTTTCATTCTGCGGATTAAAAGTCTTTGCTAAGTGGAAAGACAACTTTTTTTTCATTTTTTAAATAAATTTATAACGTAAAGTAAAAGTATTTAAATTTTATTTCTTTAAGAATATTGTTTTAATACAAACTTTTCTTCGATTATTTGAAGAAAATCCTCTAGACGATAAGAATTAAATGGAGAGGCTCGAGATAGTGTAGTTTTACGTCAATTTGACATCATTTTTAAACTTGTTCATTGTAAAACTGGAAAAATGACGTCAAATTGACGTTAAAAGTGTACAATTTCGGCTCTGCTGAGATCTCGGATCTGATTTTAGTTTCTTTAAACGCTTTTATTTAATTTACTTTGAATCGTGTCTCAAATCTTGCAACTTGAACTTCATCCACTTGTAATTTAAATAGAGGGCTGAAAATTTCACCACCCACCATCCTGCCCCACCCCGAAATCTTACAAAAATAACCAAATATAGCGCTTAATCACCATGTCCGTGTGTGTAAATGCTCCGTATTGATGCCCAGTCGGGGGTATCTACATAGAGACTAATAGGGCTTAAGCCCTGGGCCTCCGAGTCTCGAGGGTCCACAAAATCGAATTCTTTTTGTTAACGATATTTTTTTAATATGAGATATAAAGTTTGTAATTCAACACCATTTCATAAATAAATATGTTTCGACTCTGATTTTGATGTTATTAAAAATGAATTTTAAACCCCAATTTAAAGATTCTTAATCTAACAAAAAATGGGACCCCGAAAAACCTAGATCCGCCCCTGTGCGCAGTGTATGGTGGAAAACGATTGGGGTGGCTCCGCATTCAGTCTCAAAAAGCGTGACAATAAAAGCATTTCTTTTATTTTAAAAAGTATAATAAAATTACTTTGCAGAGCATTTGTACTAAATTAAAAAGAAATTATATCTAGTTACATTATTATGCTGCTTAATAATAGATCAATTATATTTTAAAATTATGGAAGAATGGTGCTGGTTGGAACATTTATTTCACCTAATATTAAAAGAAATAATAATTTTACAAAAACTGATCTAAATTTTCTACATTTTTCTTATTAAAAATGTGATTAATATTTTAAAAATATAAATTAAAATGCATTTTAGTGAAGTATTACGGTAGAATTGACCGAAACACTTCACCTACATTAAAATATTTAATTTATTTCTTCTCATTACTTTTTGAAAATAATATTTTAAATTTAATTAAAATAAATAGATAAAAATGACTACTGTTTTTTGTTGATTTTTCTTAATAAATTTATTTATTAATGCTTTTTATTGTAATTGGCATTAGTAAAATCATTTTAAATAATTAAAAACATAAAAAATCATTTGTTTTAAATGAGAAAATAAAAATAGAAAAAGTCATTAAAATACGATAATATTTCGTGCAGAATTTTTTATATTTATTAAAGAAAATTTACTACATAAAGATATAAATATTTATTATTTATTTAAAAATTATATTTTAATAATAAACAGGGACAACTAGAAGAGGGAAGCAGCAAATTGGCCCGGCCCCGAGCGAACGGGGGTTTCTTTTTGTTTACCTTCTTTACTTTAATATAATAATTTAATTCACTATAGGAACCCCAATATGTACTTTGCCCCAGGCCTCTGTTATTCTGTGGGCTGTCCCGATAATAAAATTACTGATTATTTTAAAATTTACACGCTACCAAACAATTTTTCCAATTAAGATTCCATAGTGATCATAACTTTTAAAACTTCTAATATTATTAATTTCAATTTTAATAAGCTATTGTTTTAATTCCCTTCTTCCATAAACGAAGTTGAATTTGTAATTTGCAATAAGGTGCTGATGCAGTAAAAAAATCATCTCGAATGTTACTCAAACACGAATCTTCACCGCTTCCGCTTTGTGTAACTCTTACCTCCAAAACCCTCCGAGTACGATAGCAAATACACCCAAAATACCTTCAAAACTCCCGCTCCAGCCGCTGTTTTACTCGATTCAATTTGATCATTTGTTTTGAAGAAACAAAATTTTGGTAGGTTTCTTTCTTAATTTCAATCCACACTTAACTCTCAAAACAAATTCTTTTCTTCCCTAACTTATACCCGAATTCCCTAAATTTTGGAAGAAATCCCTAAACCCGGCAATCTTGTACAATTCCCCGCTCACTGCAAAAGATTGTACGAGATTGGCAATTAGTTAAAAGAAAGTTTTACCGTCAGTTTTAAATTTTATTAATTTACAACTAAAGTTTTTCAGAACACAGAAATAATTATTTTTAGAAACCTCTAAAAACACTTCTAAATGTAACTCGCCTTTAAATCTGGAGGTAAAACCTCCAGAACGGCCACTTGGATTCAATTTTCTATTAACAAGTGGGGAGCCTGATTATATATAGGTCATTTCACAATTTGGGCGACTCTTCCGATTTAACCTTTCTGACCGTCACAAAAGAAGAGGTTAACTAAATCCCCGTTTCCTGTTCTACACGTATTAATTGATTATGTCCTACTGTATTACTGTATGATTTATTTTATACACTTTTGATTTCGAGGATATGAGTGCCGTTAGAGGTGGATTCGGAGGGACCGAGGCATTGCCCCAGTCATTTTTCAGAGCATGTTACTCAATTAACTTAGAATTCTATTAATTACCTAATCTTACCTAATTGAAGTCACGCTAACAAAACTGATTTTGTATCAAGGGGGTGCTGCGGCACCGTACGCAACCCCCGTCTACGCCCCTGATTATGGTACATTTATCATTTTAGAGTATTATTGAGACAAAAATGAAATAATTAGCTAATGACTATTGATCTACATCACTAATTGTTTTTTTAAGTGTAATGGGAATTAACAAATTTAAGTAGGCTAAAAGTTTCATTATTATATATTTTTTCGTAAATGTTACTAATAAATAACACGCTGCATAAAATTA